ACTTTCTCTCGTTTTTCTTTAATTTTTTTTTAACAATCTATTGAAACTGTTGTTTTTCCATTTTGAGCGCTCCCTTTGGGAATAAAATCTAACTTGTCGATTCCTTATATTGTTCTCTTGGTTTGTCTGCTACACTTTTCATTTCTGACTAATCAACCATAGGCTAATGACCGATGCTCTTGTCTTCAAATAGAATATGCTTCACAGAAAAATATATGCATTGATAAACATATTTGATAAATACAAGTTTTGAAAAATTCTCGGCCTCACCAAGAAACTCTTCTCAAAAAAATCCGATATTTAGCCATTTGGTCAAATTTTGATTGGGGGTCGAGAATATACAGATAATCCATTAACACATATGCATCTATGCCATTTCAGACATCTACAAAAACAAAGCAAATAACGTGTAAATATATATGTATATGCATTGAGCGCTCGCAGTAGAGCGATTAGTAGCGAGTTCGTCTTAAAGAATTGTTTTGCAATGCATTCAGTTTTCACTAAGTTCCCTACTGTTATGGCCTTGTGTCGCATTAATATGTAGATATTCTTATTGGTGATGTGTCTAATAACGATCATTAAATTAAGTATGTGATTGAGTTGATAGACATCATTTTTGTATATTTAGTCTTATACATGAAATCTGTACACAGATTTATTATAATAACAAATACAATTGCACTCTGCAACAGTTCTCCTATTTTATTGGTCAACTCTTTGTTACCCGACCATTGTCAAGCTTAAGAATGAGGACAGTAGTGCATTGCTATGACTGACGTCTCACAAAAGGTAATTATTGGGGAATGATTTGCTCAGGTATACAAGCAATGACATTCTACTCCCTCAAGGAGATATTTTGTCAAGATATTCGTCCATGGAATAGAACGCGTGGAAAAGTACTTTTCTTAGTCTTCTTCTAACTTGGTTCACCGATTCCATTTTCATTACTAGTAACCATTACGCCACCCGTTAGCACTCATAGTATTATAAATTTATTCTGACCTAAGAAAAAAGTATGCATGCATGTATACGCCTGTTTTCAAAATCAATAAAAACACATATTTGTCCATTTTATTTGTGGTTTTGCTTCCATTTTTTGAAATATCTGCGGTCAGCCTCAAACATAAATAATTTATTTTTAATGATCCCAAAGCGCAAATTTACCAAAGAGAAATCGCAAAATGCTTCCTTTAACTGTTAAAGTTCTCGACTAAATAAATAAAGAAATATTCTATGTTGGGATTGCTAAGATGTGCCTTAAAATAGATTCTTCCATCCCTCGCTTAACTTTCATTCGTCGTCGGTACTTGCTCGCATCTGAGCTCCGGGATCGTCATCCTCACTCATTGTTCCTCTGGCGACAGTAACAGAGATGGCTGTGAAGCCTTTGTCTACTCCTGAAAAGTCGTGAGCAAGAGTCACGAAGGAGTGTGGGTGGTGGACACGGCTGGGCGAGTTGGGCCCTTCTAACAGTACGTCACAGACCCTCTTCCTCTTGACAGTTGATCTGAAAAGTCTCTGTGAGGAAGGCTGATTTGCAGTAACGGTTTCCCGGGTCTCAGGGTCGATGTTGACCCGTGTCAAATATGTATTCAACTGATCCCTAAAGCGTCGTTTTGGGCCTTAACTTACATTACAGTGTATTAGAATTACTTAATTTTAATACTAGTTATTACTCTTATTCGTTTATAGTTGTCTGACTTATAAAATTTACCATAAAATATATATGAAGGATAAACATGTATGTGTTGTTCTTTACTATCCACGGTTTTAGTCATTCGTTGGGGGTGTTTTGAACATCGCCCCCCACCGCGAATTAAGGGAGACTACTATAAATTAATAGATTAAAACCTTAATCGGAATTAAACGATTTCCCATGAAAATATATCCTCAAAATCTTTGCTTCCTACCACCTCTTATATTCATATTACACACTTCATTCATAAAATCTCTACTTTGAGTAGAAAGTTAACGTAATACAGTCTTCTTACACTTACTTTATCCTATTTGCCTTTTTGTAAGACTCCACAGAGTTTCGTAAATATAAAAATCTCTATACACGTACTCATAAATGTATACACAAATAATTTTTTTAAAATTATGACGAATACATATACATACCATTCATCACAAATAGTTTCCTGAAGAAAAAATTAATATCTCTGTTCTGGGCGTAGACGATCAGATCTTTCCGGAGATTTCATTGCATTATTAACTGTGAATTTCCATGTGTTCTTAGGAAAGATAGTAAAATGATTTCTCTTTTTTTCGCCACGTTTTTTTTTTATTATTCAGAGTTTTCCCTCTCTTATATTGGTTGTCATCCAAGGTTCAAGATAACCAGTTTACCCTGCTATTTAACCCATAGCTGGGGAGAGAGAGAAGAGTTGGGTTCACATCTTTCCCAAAGGTGTTTAGCCGGAATTTGAACTTGTCAGATCCAGTTTTCGTGATAGGACGTTGAAACTGACACACCAGTAAGTACACATTTATACATCTGTGACCCTATTTATATGATTAAGCGGGCTGTTAGTACAGTATATACTAAATTAAACGTAGTATAGTAAAATTTAAAATTAAATTTAGTATTGTTAAATTTAGTGTAGTTAA